CCAATTTTAGGGAAACTATAAAGGAAAATAAAGTAAACGATGTAAGAAACAGTGTGTGCGACTCTGTGTGTATATGCAGCATGCACGTATTTTTGTGTATGTGTTGGTATGCATTCCAAAGCACTCTAGGCCCTCACCAGTGTAAATCAGAAAAACCGATCCTTGTCCTTTGATTTTCCTGTACAACTAGTAGCTACCTTCTGGACTGAGCAGCTACCATCCGAGGGTCCCTGCACTCACCTCTCTTCACGTAAACAGAAGGGTTCCTGCTTATTTCTACCTTTCTGTATAACACATAGGGTTGGGGAATTTGCTGCTGGTGCTTCTGGGGGGTCAACTGGTAGAGAACTCTGGTAAATTGCTTTTGATCTCATTTCCCTTCTCTGTTTTTAGTTTAATAATGACCAGTGTTTCAAGTTGATTAACTTCTTTATGTGCAGTGCCTTAGAATTGGAGTTAGGAACCTCTTCGACATTACTGAGGGCCACAAGGAATCTTCCTGAAGAATAAATAGGAGAGAAAAGACAACTCTAATTGTGTGGGTAAAGTAAGTAGAGAAGCTGACTCAAAAATTACAAGTTACCAGATTGCATTCTTATCTATGAAACTCATGTCTAATTTAAAAAGGAAAAACAAAACTTTCTTGTTTAGCCATGCAGTCAGTTACCCAGTTTCTGGAGAGCCCTTCGAGCCTCCTGTTTCTCTCAACTCCTACCCCAGTTTCCAAGTTTTACATCTTTCCTCTGTCTTTCTCTTGGGCCGTACCCCCAACTACTCTGCTTGGAATTTTCAGGTCTTTTCTTTTTCTGCCTCTAATTTTGTACCATCCTCCAGCTTCCTCTCCCCTGCCACGTACTGGATTCTCGCTGCTGTAAGAGCGGTCGCCTCTCTATCCCGTGCGTGTGTGACAGCGTTATTTTCCTGACTCCCCACATCTGCAGGGTAAAGTCTGTGTGATATGGCCTGCCTGCTTTATCTTCCTCAGAACCCTTCTGGCTCCTGAGCCCCTTTTCTGCCTAACCCTTCCAATTCCCAGGTGATACTGGGTGTTTTCTGTTCCCAAATGCTTTGCTTTGGTTAGAAAGCTCTTTCCACACCATTTACCTGCTACATGCTCCTGCCTCAAGGATCACCTCTTCTGTGAAGTTTTCCTGACACCCTAGCATCTCTCCCTGTTTCAGCATGGGCCAGGAGAAAACTGAGACCTCACGGGGCCCTGTCAGTCTACCTCTGTCACATTACTGTGTTTAATTGTTGCTGTGGTCACTTTGGGACCGGGGTCATATCTTACTCTTTTTTTCTTTTTAAATCCCCAGCAAAGACCAAGAACCAGACACATTGTGTGTGTGGGAGCTTAAGTAATACTGAATGGAAACATTGCCTCTCCTGTAATAGGTTTCCATGAAAGTATATCTCATTCAGTGGTTTTGTTTTTTAGCCCCTTTTCCTGGCAGAATGTTTGATTTAACTGTTCCTTTTAGTGCATCACTGCATTAAACACATTACCATGTAAAAGTGATGATAATATTGATGTTTTACAAACTCTTTTTGTTTATAGTCTTGGTAGGCTGTAACTAGTCACTGGGAAATAAGTATATAGGTATACTTTGGAGATATTGTGGGTTTGTTTCCAGACCACCACAGTAAAGCAGATATTGCAATAAAGCTAGTCACATGAATTTTTGGGTTTCCCAGTGCATATAAAAATTATGTTTATATTATACATTAGTCTATCAAATGTGCAGTAGCATTGTGTCTAAAATAACAATGTACATACCTTAATTAAAAACACTTTATTGCTAACAAATGCTAACCATCATCTGAGCTTGCAGTGAGTTGTAATCTTTTTGCTGGTAGAGGGTCTTACCTTCAACTGGAAAAAAAATATATTTGCAAAGCTCAGTAAAGCAAAGTACAATAAAATGGAGGTGTGCTGGTATCCCAAGAAACATGGTTTTGCACCAGAGAACCATCTGATTAAGGACTTGCTTGCACAGGATTTTACACAGACATGCCTATCGCAGTCTTGTTAGAATGCGCAAGTGGAGGGAGAGGCAGAGAGGACCAGACCTCCCTGTGCTGAGCTGAGCAGCGGAGCTCCGCTGTTGCCATCAGACTCTGCCAGGCCTTTATTTAAAGAGGAGAAAGAAGACATTTAATGGGAAATGACAGGCTTCCTCGGATCCTCCCTCTTCCTGAGCTCCCGAGAACCATGCATACTCAATGGATTTGATTTTTATTGGCAAATCCCAAGGTTGGCAGCGTGGCAGTTTAAATTCCTTTTGTGTTTTTGCTCTTTCCTCAGTTGTCTACCACTTGCGAACCGGACATCACATGCATAAAAATATAGTCAATTTTACTTTATATCTTCGCACACATGTCAGTCCTCTGTGATAATTCTTCACCTGAAGCATCAGCTGCTGAGGAAAATTGGCCTGAAATGCTTGATCTTAGTCTCTTTTACTAAGGGACTAGTAAAAGGCAACAGGCCAAGGGAGAAGGAGAGCAGGAATGAGTGAGGAGTGGCACGTGAGCTGTTAGTTTCATGACCCCTTACGGAAAAAAGGTGCTATTTGTTTAGATATATTTCAGCTCTTAGGCATGCTTGTTCCCACTTTAATTTTGTAGAAATTTGAAATGCTGTTAGTTAATCTTACAGGATTTTAGAGCATAGCCTTTGAAATAGGAATGTGCAGTAAGTCCTCATGGAGGTCATCAGTAGGTTCTGCAACTTTAATTGAAATGACAGACCACAAAACCAAGCTTATCGTAAGCTAATTAATATAAACAAGAGTCTAAGCTCCTACAATGTTATAATGAAATGGCAGTGAGTGAAGTGACATTATTCAAGGACCTGTTGTAAAGTAAAACTTTTAAATTTACTAGTAGGTTTTGGACGTCTGAGTTACTGAAGTTTGCTGTTAATAACAAACTTGATGGTCTGTGAACCATCTTTACTCAGCAAAGGCCTAACTCAAAAGGGCACATTCAGGTGTTTTGTGGATGAGAAAATGCATATGTTATTGCAACCTTCTCTTCATGTTGCTCCCCTGGTCTGCTAACCTACGATTTTGATATTAATTGATTTCTACTTTCCTTGAAGATTGAATGACCTTTTGTGAGGTATAGCTAGCCAAAGGCAGGCCAGGCAGAAGCTTCTCACTCCTGGGCACACAGATTTTGGTACAGTAGTTTCATGCTCTGCCGTAGGTAGTATTGGACATTTTAAACATGCTTTTCATGTGACAGTTGTGTCTTTGTTTCCTAGAGGCAGCGTAACCATTCTGTTTTTAGGGAGATTAATAGGAAGTAGCTAGGCAGCTTTGATTTGCTAACTTTAATCTGTGGAAATACATTTTCCGTATGACTTGTTGAAGGAAGTTTTGGTTCATTAAATAGTCTTTTTTTTATGACTAAGCATTTTAAATCTTCTTCAACTAAATGAATAAAAAGTTGAGGTTTGACAAGTATTTAAGTTCAAAATTGGGTGAGAATATTTTGAGTCTCAATTATGGACATTGTACATCTACTTATTCATAATTAATTACACATTAGCAGTCAAGATGTTCTTTCCAAAAGTAAGAAATATACTAAAATGATTTCTTATATTTTAACAGTGAATTTAAATTTTTACCAAAAATAGTAATTCTTAATGACCATGTTTCCTCCATTTTTTCTGTGCAGAATGAGTCTTATATGTAGATTTCTGTTGCGAGTTTCCCTGCTTTGACAATACGACCTAGAGTCTTATTAGAGGGCCAGGGTGGAAAGGAGTGTCAGATCAAGGGCTAGACTCAGGAGACTGAGACAAGAAGCTGGAAGGGCAAGGATGATCCATGGAACAGGACAGCCATAGCCATCTGAATATTGTGTGTAAGGTGGTACATGGTTAGCTCCAGCTTCTCTGTAGATTTGTGGCATTTAATAGAATGTTTTGTGGTTATATAGCTTAGAGAGAACATTGCTTAACTGCCAACTGGTTTGATGCTTCTCAAGTCTCAGAGACATTAGTAGTAGAAAAGTAGCATGAATCACCTTGTCCATTCTGCTAAATTTGAATCATAGACTGAAACAGTGTTTTGCCTGTTATAATTTAGAATACTGTTGCAATCATTTATAATGCTTTCTTCAGTGGTGTTCTTTTATTTTTTTCTTTTGAGAGGTAAGTTTAAAATATCAGCAACTGACATTAAGTAACTTGAAGAGCTTTTTAAAAGAATCTTTCAAATGGTATGGTGGTTGTAGTGATTTAGCTTAAGTTTTGCCAGTATTGCATTGGAGATGACTTAATTTTTTTCTATTTTTTTCCACAGCGGTGATTGGGTTATTATACCCCTGCATTGACAGGCATCTAGGAGAACCACATAAATTTAAAAGAGAGTGGTCCAGTGTAATGCGGTGTGTAGCCGTCTTTGTTGGTATAAATCATGCCAGTGCTGTATCCTTTTTGCCGTAATGAAACGCATAATAACAAAGCAGCTCCCGACAAACCAAAGGTTAACGATCCCTTGCAACCTCACTGTTGTCAAATTGTGATATGCCCACTGAGTCATAAAAAGAATGTGCCGTGTATTGTGGAAACATCACAGTAGCATCTATATGTGTGTGGTTTAGCCTTTCATTTAAATCCTATTTTTCAAATATAACTTAGAAAATTTACATGTTTAAAACATTTATGTTTTTCTTAGATTACTAAATTACTTACATATAGTTTTGGTAACTCTAGCAATGAAGTAGGTAAATTTTCAAAGGATTCCTTTCCTCTTTCTCCATTTAAGGTTTGCCAGTAAGGACATGTGGTGGCTTCAGGTGTTCGGTTTTTGTTTTGTTTTGTTTTTAATTTCAAGAACCTATAATTTTAAAAAAAGACTGTCATTTATTGGTTTTAATCAACACCAGCAAACTACATAAATGTTTTTAAAGGTAGCATGGTAGAAATATCCAGCTTAGACCTTGGTCAAAAAGAACTTCATATATCTCTATCTCTATCTCTATCTCTCTATCTCTATCTCTATCATCTCTATCTCTATCTCTATCTCTATCTCTATCTCTATCTCTATCT